TGAAGTTTAAAGCTCATGATGAGCAAGAAAAATGGCACCATAGAGTATTGACATGTGTTGGTGAGTAATTTGCATGAAACTTATCCTTTTTTTTTAAAAAAAAATATTTACCTAAGGGATAAATATCAAGCCTAACCATGGGTTAATGGCTGGCTTTAAACTCAACCCTAGAGTCTAGGATGAGTTATGGTAAGGCTCATTTGACCATACCAAGCTCAATTGGTTTGGATTTGACCATAAGTCCAAAAAGGTGCACATGACCAAATTTTGTGTTTATACTAGGTTAGGCATGTCAATTGGCCCAATTAACTATGGGATTTGGTGTAGGAGACTATGAGGAACAACTTTCATGAAGGGTGAAAGTCATTTTGAGGTCAATTGGTTAACCAATTTGGTGGATTTTTGATTTTTGACCCATTTTAAGCATGTTGGGCTAAGTTTGGGTCAAACTTGGGCTAGCCATGGGCTAAGTCCAAATTGATTGTTTTATTTGGTGTAAAACATCATGATGAACAACTTTCATGAAGGATGAAAGTCATTTTGAAGTTGATTTGATAGTCAATTTGAATGGGTTTTGATGGGTTTGGATTTAGACCTAAATTAAGCCTTTAGGGGTTTTGGTCAAAGATGGTCAAATTGACCAAATTGGACTAAGGTATAGTTGGACAAAATGAAATTGGGAATATTTTGGATGTATTGGGATTTTTTGGGAATTTTTAGAATTTTTGGATTTTTGGGCCATGGAGGGGCATTTTGGTAATTTGGCCATTTTTGGAATTTTTTGTCAGTTTTGGCAAATTTGGATGTATTCAAAGTGTTTGGAATAAGTTTTGATCAGTTTTGGGTATTTTGGCAAAATTTGGGAATTTTGGCCAAATTTGGGTCCCAAGGGCAGTTAGGTAATTTGGAGGTGCCTAGGGGCAAAAGACCCAAGATTAGTATTTCAAATAGAATTGGATAAATATCCATTCTAAATGAACTGTGGATCAATAAAATCCTCATTTTGGGTTCTTATGAATTGGTTTTAGCTAGAATAATGTGAGGATATTGTGTACCCTAACTTCAAACCAACACCCAGGGTCGATCCTAAGGCCAAGTAATCCTATAGGAACTCCTCTTGAGTTCTCTCATAATGATCTTACCTACTAAGTGCTAGAGGTTATGACCAATATGTGGAACTTCAAGTTGAGTAAAGAGAAGAGTTTTGAGTTTCTAATGGTGAGGGTACCTTTTCTAGTTTTCTAAGACTAGTCAGTAGGAAAGTCCTATAGCTAGACCTAGGCTACTAAAAAAATTTCTAGACCTCAACCAAAAGTGAGGTCAACAACTACATTTCTAATGGGGCCTACAGACATTCATGGATGCTACATGGGATGCAATGGAGTGTGCAAGGACTAGCGGGATCGTCATCAAGGACATGAGTACGTGCACATGCTTGCAACATACACACAATAAGATGGTGTTGCGAGCACGCATGCAAAATTGTTTCTGCATTTAGTTGCGAGTGGTTACCCACACAGTTGTTGATGCTTGAAATTGTTGTGAGCAATTGATTAATCAAACAATTATACTTATCGATCAAGTAATATACGAATAAAAAGTTCGCGCATCGATCTCACAAGAAAAGTTTTCAAAATATTCAAATAGACGAAGTTTTAATTTGCTAAACATCTGAATCTAGTTTGAAGTGCAAAAGTGCAAAGGGTAAACATTCTAAAAGCCTAAAAGGCAGCAAATTATGCGAAGTTTTATTAAGGTTTTTCATATATGAATGATTCTCATTGCTTGGTGACATCGGTCTAGTGATTTCTCAATATATATTTTTTTATGAAATTTCACATTATTATTGACAAACCATGGACACAATCATTCTTGGCCTATGTTTAGGTCATAAGAAAAGTTCAAAACTATATTACTATTAAGATCAACTTAAGCATACAATGTTTCCCAAGATTCTTCAAATTTCCAATGTATGATGCAATTTTCTAATGACAATATGCCTATTTTACAATGCTATTGTGTGTTAACATAAGTTTTATTCTAGACAACAGCTAGAAGTTTTATATTACAAATGATTTTAACATTCCATCGAGTAAAATTAGGAATAAATTATGACAAAAAATTTGACATATAAACATATGAAATTTAAGTACTTAGAAGGCGTCTATGGAACAAAATCCATATGAAAAAATTATGAGTACAAAAGTAAGATTAATTAAGACTCATGTGAAAAAAAGCACAAAAAAATTATTAATGAGGGCATAAAAAAAGGAAAATAATGCAAGAGATACTGGAAATTCAAACTTGGCCCAATTAGTCATTGCAATAAACTGTGATACTCTCCATCAATGCAAGCTTTCCGTAGATATCCCTCATACAAGTGCACTCAATCTCTCCTCATAACCTCTCTGAACTCTCCAAAGAAAAATATGAAAGTAAGAAAAATAGGAAATAAAATCTCTCGAGCGAAACCTTAGAGCCTCAAAGACTCCCAAACCATAAAGGCAAAGCGCCAAAATCAAAAAGTGTTCTTTCAGTTTTCATACATCTCCTTTTATAGCTTAGGGCTTCAAAATAGCCTCCAAACATGTAAAATTGGTCAAAACCCGGGTCAGGATAGATGTGGGTGTAGGTACGCCATCACTGCTGTAGCTATGCCGTTCTTGGCGTAGGCATGCCATAAGCCAATGTAATAATGCTAATATAATAGAGGACTCGACATAATTACCCCAGGATCCAATGTAATTACACTAGGATCCGATGTAATTATGCCGTTCCTCTAAATTTGACTACTTCATGTTTAGGCACCGCGACGTAGACTCGACACTTATAACCTTCAAAATACAACAAATATATTATTCACAAGTATAAAATCACAATAAATGAGAGAAAATATGATATTTAAAATAAAAAAAAACACATAAATTTATAATATATCAGTTGCACGCGCCGTTGTGCGCACATACACACTTGCGGCTTATGCAATATACAATGCTCAAATATTTTATTCTTCAACTCCATAAGATAAAAAAATTATTGGTGGCACATCAACGCTAATAACATGACCATGATGCCCTAAAACGGACAATATTTGGATGAAGGAGCGTTAGGGCCAATACAGACATGAGATAAATAAATAATTTTAGATCATTTAAATTATTGGGTTGTGTTTGGGTTCTCCAAAAACTTATTGTTTGCGAATAGCTCTTGTTTGGCTCATTAAATTGGCCGCGCTCGATTCTTTTTTAAAGCAAATGTGGCATACACAAACAATTTTTTGAAGCTTGATTTATAAACTAGCCGAACAAGAACAAAGTTTTGTTCGACAGCATCATAAATGCCGAAACCCTCTAGCGTCCGCTTGATCCCGCTCTTGCATCTGTAGTCCGCATCACACGCTTTCTTTCTTGGTTGAAGGCTTTGCCTCACTAGTGGGTTAATCTCACATCACTCAATTTTGAAAAAAAATTCACTCATCCTCTATAAATAACTAATCTCTCTTCTATAAAAGCCACTTCTACTCCTTAGCTTGACTCGCCCACAAAGATCTTAAGGTGTGGTAATTTTAAAATAAAAATAAAATTTTACAATTTAATTCTATTATATGATTTATTAAATTTTAATAATAAATTATTATTTTGAGTCCAGCCAAACACAATTTTAATTCAAAAAAAAAAAAGAATCGAACGCGAATATGCAATTCACCTGACATTTCAAACAAAAGCCGACCACCCTACGAGAGTATTTGGTAGCGCTTATTAAAAAATTATTATGGGATTTATAAAACCTAACTAAACATAAAAAAAATTAGAAAAATTCTGAAGCTATAAAATTCTTAATTTAAAATCAAATCTTAGCTTCTTATTATCTTAAATTCAGATTTAATGAAAATAATTACTACTAACACGGGTTAGTTGTAGCTTATTAAAAAATAAGGGTTAAATTGCTGAAAAATAATTAAATATTTAAAAAATTGCGGTATAATGAGAAAAAAAAAAGAAAAGACAAAAAGAGAAAAAAAAGACTTCCCAAAACACAGTTTACGCATGATATTTGGGCGATCCGCTCTGTTCCGCTCCCGCCGTTGGGTCTGAAGCGACGGGAACCAGGCTTCCCGGACCTGGTAGAGTTGAGAAGATGGGTACGGAACCGTTGGATAAGGTGGCGCTGTCTGAGGATTATTGCTTCGTCTGCAAGGACGGAGGCCACCTCCGCCTTTGCGATCACAAGTGAGTTCGATCGTTCTCTATTTCCATCACCATTGATACGCGATTCCCATCCCCACTGTCTTCTAGTTTCATCGATTCTTGCCTCGCCCGTTTGCATGGTGTTTTGGTTTGATCATTGAAGTTGGACTAGATATAGGTGTGAAAATTCTCTTTATATTATGTTTTTTCTCTAGCTAATAAACCCTACATGCTCTCTGAGTTTGAGATTCGCCTTGCCTTGCATCATCTTAGTTTAATCAAGAAATTTGCTTTTATTCTAGTAGTGTTTTGCGTTCAAGTAGTTTCAGCCCGTTTAACTGTTTTTAACATTGCGAATGACTTTTTTTTTTCCCATATAAAAGAAAAAAATAGGGTTCATGCCTGATTTTGGAACTCGAATGCATTGATATTTGGTCACTTTTTAGTTTTAAATAGTATGGGTAAATGCTGTTGCAGCGGCTTATGCTCCAGAACACACTAAATAAGAAACATGACAAATCATTCTATCTGCTGTTATTGTACTTATGGTGTCCTTAGTGAAAGAGTTTTCTCTGAAGATGCGGAGTGTCAGTCTCGGATCAAGCTTTATTTTTCTTGAGTGCCATAAATCTTTTTCTATTATCTATAACCATTGGTTTTATATACTCGAGAGGCTACCTTATTCCGGATCCTGTTTGAAGTCGTCAAAAATTTATTTTGTTTTGCAGGCAGTTTGGAAATAGTTTCATTAGACAATTCATTTTAGTTATACTTACCAAGAGTAGTTGTCATAGAGACATTTTATGATGAGATTCAAGCTGAATATGGCTTCATTAAGGCCGTTCATATCTATTTGTTTTATGTGCTCGAGTGACTACCTTATTGCAAATCCTGTCTGTAGTTCTCAAAAACTTATTGTGTTTTGCAAGCTGTTTGGAAATAGTTTCAACACACTATTCATGCTAGATATACAAATCAGGAGTAGTTATTATAGAGACATGTTTTGATTAGATTCAAGTTGAATATCAGAAATCATCATGTACTTCAATTTTTTTTAAATTTGTAAATATATCTTTTATGAGTAAATATGGCTTCAACAATTTTTAATCACTCATTACAGATTTCTGTAGTGCTTGGGTGCTCAATGTTTTTGCTTCTACGTGTAATTATCTTTTTATCTATTTATGTATTTCATTATTCAACTTTTCCGATCAGTAATTGTTAAGTCTTTTTTGTTGAGATTTCATTAAAGTGTAGAACGGTCCTACATTAACTTGAGTTCCCATTATACCTTAGCGAAAGCTTTAGGGTCAGTCGATTCCCCCACCTCATTAATGCGGTATCAGAGGCGCCTTAACCACCCCCCCCAGATTCATATTAATGAAAATACCACCATTTGATTTCGCTTTATTACACATTATTCTCAATTTCAACGTGGTATCATAGCCTAATTTTGTATCATAGTCACCGGTTCTTCTTCCAGACTCGCCGGACTCCCTTTTAGCCATCATCCGTCCGGAAAGGGAGGGGCACTCGTCTTGCTCTCTTATTTGTTGCTACTTTGGGTGGCTCTCTTCCTCCTCTACACTATTGTTTTTAATGGTCTTGTCTTCTAGAGTCAGCTTCCAAAACCTCCCGCATATTGTCGACCCTAGAACCGCTAAGTCATGCTGCCTCTGGTCATGTCCAGCTCCAAGGTGGAGAGGGGCATCGAATTCGAAACCGACGACTTGTTCCGCCATCAGAGCATTGTCGGCCGCGATCTTAGCGTCATTGCCGCTGCTCTCCAAACACCAACACCGCACCCACCCCCCCTTTTAAAGTTGATCCCCTCTCATATTAATGAAAACACCCCCATTTAATTCCGCTTATTTTGAATTTCAACATTTTGATGCATCCTAATATCCGGTGGCACCATAAAAAAGCTTTAATGAGCTTAAGAATTTAAACTTGCATGACTATGTGTCTCAAAGAAATCTAAGAAAAACTTGTAGCTCAAAATTGATGCTCTAATACTGGCTGAAGACTTTGGGTTAATTAACTGACACCAAGAACCTTGGATATGGATTTCCATCCCTTTATCTGTCTCTTGGGCTCAATTCCAGCAAACTCACAGTAGTTCTGCCTATTCCAGTGGTTGCTTGCTCCCTTTTTATGTTTTTCTGCAAATCCAAAGGTTCCTGAATGGGAAATATGTTGGCCATCCATTGTTTTTGTTATAATTTTGGCTTGTTTGGATTTTCCAGCTGCTATGCAAGAAGGGAAGTTAAATCTCCATAAGGGGAAATCGAAACATTGAAAAATGAACATAAATATTAAGAGAAGTAAAGGAAAATAGAGAACTTGGTGTAAGTTCTTTCTAAGATCTCAAAATGCTAGCTGAAAATGCAAACATTGCTTGAAAACCTTACAACAACAACAACGAGGACAAGTCTTTATCCCGCAAAATGGGGTTGGCTACTTGAATATCTTTTCTCCATTGTAACCTATTGAGTGTCATTTTTTCATTTAATTCTAATTTATTCAGATCATTTCTTATACAACATGTACAAGCCTTTTTAGGTCTACCTATACTTTTCTTGACATAAGTCGAATTTAAAGCATCGGCTTATCTAACTGGATGATCAGATGGTTGACATTTAATGTGACCAAAACATTCAAGATGGTTCTCTCTAATTTCGTCTGCCATGGAGTTACATCAACCGTTTCACAGATATATTCATTTCGTATTTTGTCTGTAAGTGTAATGCCACTTATATACCGAAGCATTCTCATACCGGAACACTTAACTTAGTTTTATGCTTATTTTTGATAGGCCAACTTTTTGCACCATAAAGCATTGCAGGTCTCACCTCTATCTTATAAAATTTTGCTTTAAGCCTAAACCGTACTTTTCTTTCACACAATAAACCTGATGCTTTTCTCCACTTCAACCATCCAACTTGAATTCTAGTTATAGCATCCCCATCTATATCACCATCACTTTGAATAATAGACTAGATATATCTAAAACATTGACTCCTTTTAATGATTTGATTATCATTATTACAACTCCACCACTAGATCTATTAATAATATTACATTCCATGTATTCAGTTTTAGATCAAATCAAATGAAGGTCTTTAAACTCTAAAGTAAATCTCAATAATTCAAGTTTTTTCTTAACTATTTCTCTAGCCTTATCCACATGAAGGATATCGTAGCGAAAGACATACACCAAGTTACATCTTCTGTAAATGTCCATTAAGAGAATTCATAAATAAAACAAAAAGATGCGGGCTTAAAGCCGATCTTTGATTTAATCCAACCGAAATAGGAAAATACTTGGTCAATATTCATTCCGTTCGAACGTAAGTAACAACTATAGTATACCTATCATTAGTGACTTGCATATAAGTCATATCGACACCCTTCTTCTCTAGAACCCTCCAAAGAACAACTCTTGGAACCTTATCGTAAGATTTTTCTAAATGAATAAAAATCATTTGTAGATCATCCTTACTCTCTCTGCACTTCTCCGTCAATCATTTTAATAAATGTATAGCTTTCATAGTAGACTTGCTCGTTATAAATCCAAATTGATTATGAGAAATCTTTTTGTCATGTCTTTATCTATGTAAGATTAATCTCTTTCATAATTTTAATGTATGACACATTAAATTAATCCTCTATAATTTGTACACTCTTGTGCAGCTTCTTTATTTTAAAAATAGAGACCAAAATGCTCTTCCTCCACTCAGACATTTTTTAGTTTTTAAAATAACATTAAAAAGTTTAGTAAGTCGATAAATTCTTAACTTTATTAAATATTTCACACTTCTATTGGGATACCATCAGGTACTTCAAATTTTCCACTGTAAATTTTCTTTAAAGCCTTATCAATTTCTTTATTTACTAATGTGACGATAAAAATAAGAAGTTTTATTACTATTATCAATATTAAGATTACTAAAGTTGATGATATTTTCAAAAATATTATTGAAAAATTTATGAAAATATCTCTCCTATCTATGTTGAATATCTTCATTTATGAAAAATACTTTTTAATTTTCATATTTAATATACTATAATTGAATTAAATCTTTTTTTTTTCTCTTTATTTGACTAGTTTATACATATAACTTTTACTCTCTTTAGTACCTAATATATTATAAATATCACTAAAAATAGAATTTTTAGCATCACAAATATTTATCTTATATCTCGTACAAACCACCTTATATTTTTCTAAATTCTCTAAGATTTACATTTAAAATAATATTTATAACATATCTTCTTATAATTTATTTTCTCTTACACATTTATTATTCCACCACCAATTATTTTTACGTATAGAACTTTTTTTTGATTCTCTAAGTACATATTTTGCACTTATTTAATAGTGCTTGTTATTTTGTTGCACATAGAATTAACTTCTCCATGAATATTCCAAATCTTAAATCTTGAAATTTGTTCTTAATTTTTTTTTTTCGGTCTTTTAAGTGTCACAATCTAATTCTATGATAATGTTTTATTATATTTTTTTATCTTTTAACTCTTCATCTTAAAATTCAAAACTAATAATCGATGTTGAGTACTTAAATTTTTACTTGGAATGACTTTATAATCTTTACATTCTTGACGATCTCTTTTTTTTTATAAAAAAATAATAAATTTGTGTTTTATTAGATTCATTCTTATAAGTAGTAATATATTCATCTCTTTTCATAAATAAATATTAACAATAACAAAAGCATAAGTTAAAACAAAATCTAATATGATTCTACATTCTTTATTAATCATTCCATAATCATAGTTATCATGAATATTTCTAAGACGTTCTACTACTCTACCAAAATGTCCACTTAATTGTCCTCCAATACAAATTTTTTCTTCAAGATGTATCATTTGTATTAATTCTTTTAACTCATTTAAGAAATTTTCTTCTGAATGTATATCTAACTTACTTGAGTAGAACAAAAACTTATAATATTAAAAATTTTAGTATCAACAACAATTTTTAGGGTTATAATTCTCTCTAATTCCGTTAATTTATTATAATA